CAGGGCTGTGGCGGAGAGATCGGCGCTACAGTGAGGGGCTCCTCTGAGGGGTCCATCCCCTGGTTTCCCGCATGTGGCCTAGCTCGGTCTGGGGGGTTGCGCCCCCCCCCAGTGGCGCCCCAGGGGGGGGGCCTGGGCCGTGGAGCCACTATCCCCTACTCCTCGTTGTCCGTGGTGCCTGAGGCCCCCATCAGCTGTATCTGTCGAGCCCCTCCCACTGGTGTGTCCCTGTTCAATGGAGCCTCCTTGGTCTTGGGGACAAGGGGGGACAGGCAGTGGATGCGCCCCGGTGTGCACCTCCCGCAAGAGCTGTGGCAGAAGCCAGCGGAGAGCCATTTAAAAAGCTGGGAGCGCCCAGAGTTGCAATAGGACACTACCTGTGAGAAATTAAGTTCCTTGCATGGCTGTTTTTCGGTATATAATAAGGGTAAGCAAGGAGACCCACTACTCCATCCTGCCTGCTGGGAGATCCTGGGGCAGAGGGTGCCCTTACACTTAGGAATGTATGTGACAGAGGATTGGGAGTGACAGAAGACCTTGCTAATGTGTTTGCTCTTATAGTGGTTTTAAAAAACTCCTTTCTTCTGTGACATGTGCCCCCCTAAAGTCAGGGTAAGGGACAGCTCTTCTGGCAAACAGAGCTAATTGTTCTATTTTGCCTGGTGCAGTTGATGCGACTTTGCATAGTGTCAGTTGCATTCTTGTTCCCCACTTGGTCCTTTGTTTTCTTCCTAGGGATTATGTGTGTTTCGCACAGTGCTGAGCCATCTGTTGTCTGAAAATCGAGTCCCTTTGTATGTCAAGTTGATTAGCTGAAAACATTAATCCTTAAATTTAAGTCTGGAAAAATAGGTAGATGTCAAAATAAGACTGACAGGAATGTTGGAGGAAGGAGGAGAGGTTTATGAGTAGGATCTGGAACAATTTTTTAACTCTGAAGATGAGTAGGTTTCAAATCCAGGGGTTCTGTAACTTGCTGCATAAATGTATGCCAGTTACCAATCTTGTTGCCAGAGGAGTAAAGTTTTGTTTGACAATTCTGTGTGTACTATACTAATGATTGGCTTTGGGTATGCAACTGAGATTTTTTTTTTTTTAATACTTGCTGATTAGTACCTGACAAAAGGCTCTTTCACACCCACCAGGCAGCTATGAAGGGTGTTTTGCTGGATATGCCAATGTTTTCCTCTTTCCACCCGTATGCTTGCATTTCGAGTGACTGTATTTTCCATATGATCCCTTTGCCTGCTCAGCATACCTGCAGCTACAGGCGATACTTCTTCCACCCACCATTGTGGTGAAAAGCGTCTAGCTCCTTAAATTGTGTGTCTGCCCGAGAGAGGGCTGCTGTAGGAGCATTAAGTACTATACCACACCCGGTCCTGAGGACTCCAAGTATTGCCTTAGTGCGTCCAATTCATGCGAGAGCGCTCCAGGAAAGCCTCATCTCTGAGTCTTCCCGCACATCCCATCTGGTCCTTGTAAGAAGTGTGGACGTAGCAAAGATGATTAAACCTCAGACTTTACTGGTACAAAAAGTGGACAGTCACTGTGCAACTGTTTTGAGTTCCAGTTATGTCAGCAGGTCAAGTGGATACAGTTGTACACATCCTAACTGGTAAATGCTTGGCAAACGTTATGTGACTTGAATGCAGTGGAACTGCTGCTCTTCTGGCTGAGAAGCATTTCAGTACCATGTGGAATCACTTACTCTCCCTTATTTAATATGCGACTCAGATGTGCTATCATATACACAATATGGGGACCAGGGTCTGTGCTCCAAGGCAATAAACAGTTGATATGACTGATGGCCAAAGCACTCTGTATATATGTGACTCAGCTATGTCTCTCCTGTGTTATGGCTTTGAATAGCAAAGCTAAATAGGAACTGCTGCTTTTCTACTGGTTAAGTTTTGAAAGGGAAGAAAAGCTTTTGCTCTGTACAGGGCCCTGTAGATTCAGTGTTTTCCTGGGGATGGGGTGCATGAGAGTTTGGTATTCCCCCTCCCCCAATGATGGTAGTCATAAATCCCTTTTCAACACTTTGATTGGGCCTCTTGCTGTCAATGTCAGAACTTGTTAACCCAGAATCTGCTGTCTTCAAATGTGTTAAAATTCCTTTCTCACTCTAAACACTGGTGTCTGGTACGCCAAATGATGCCTTGCAATCCCTCTGTTCTGTCTCATTCTTTCTCAAACCCCAACAATCTTCTTCTTAAAGCTTTGGTATCTTCTCAAACCTTTAGTGCTGTGCTATGATTCGCATGTTCATTTACACTATGAACTTTTCTGGATGTGGGAACACACCTTAAGGTTGTAAAGAGCCATGTAAATGCTCTAACACTACTAGTGCAATAGGATCTTCTTGGGGCCCTTTAAATGTTAAAATAACCCTGGCAACCTCCTGGTGACATACCTGGTTAGAGATGGGTAAACTGAGGCATGGAAGGAAAACAACCCCTCCAAGGTCCTACAGCAAGAAAGCATCAAAGCGGCAAATAGAACTGAATTGTCCTAACTTGTCCCTTACTCTGATCACTAGATATCACTTATGCATTAAATTAATTTACTATTTGATTCAATTGGTCCTCTGTTCCAGTCCAGCAATGTCTCTAAAGATTCAAACTTTGTTTCCAGTAACTGAAGAACTGAAGAAAATTCTCACCCAGTGGAGTTGAGGATGAGGGATTTTGGTGTGGGTGGAGGCTTAAGGTGAGGACTTGGGGGGTGGAGCAGAGAATGAGGCATGCATGGTATGATAAGGGGTTCTGGGATGGGCGAGAGGTTAGGGTGCAGAAGGGGATTAGGGCTCTGAGCTGAGTGTGCAGGCTTTGGAGTGGGGCTGAGGATGATAGGTGCAGGAGGGGACTGGGGCAGGGGATTGAGGTGCAGGCTTACCCCTGGTGGCTTCCAGTCAGTGGCACAGTTGAAATGCTAAGGCCGTCTTCCTGACTGTCCTGGCACTGCTATCCTGTGCTTCAGAAGCAGCCAACAGCATAGGCAGAGACATGCAAGTAGCTCTGCATGATTCTTTCCTAGGAGCTGGACCTACTGCTGGCCATTTGCGGGGTGCAGTGCAGTATCAGAACAGGAAGGGACTAGCACTGTCTTTCAAAGTGCAAGGCCTGAACCCAGCTTTAGGTCCTTGGTTGCTGAACAAGGTGACCTAGTGCCTTACATTATGTGACCTGAAGTTTGAAAACCACTGCACTGGGGGCCTTCAAAAAGCTGATCTAAACGACAGTTTTCACGTGTCAAATACAGATATCCAATATTAGGCCTGGCCCTGCTCCTGCTCTTAACAATTTTAGTTTTTTAATGGAAAACTGAACAACTCAAACATCTTCAGTGGTTGCTCAAATGGTCACATCCAAATAGCTTTTGTTTTACATCCTCTTTGGATCAGAACGTCCAGCTCTTTTTCCTTGTGGCTTCTGATTTCTCCCATCTCCCCATTCATTCTCCTGTTGAATCCATAGGAATTAAACTCTGAGATATATGAATCCATCCTTTTTCAAGCATGGTCTCTTTGGGTGAGTGGTGAATCTGTGATATGTTTTAAGAACTTGTCAGGCAAAGAGCTGAAGATTGTTACCCAGAACAAATATAAGATCAAAATCTTCTCCCCTTCTCTCGCCCTGTCCCCCCGAATCTATATGCAGTTGTGAACAAATGTTCTTGGCTGTCTGACTGGCTGAAAGCTTACTCCATTGGCTAAGTACTTATTACTTGATGAATATGCATGGTGGAGTGGCCTTTATATTGCTATTCATCTGTAACTGTTTAACTTTCTCCTTTTCTCCCCCCCTATTTATTTATTTTATTTTTATTAAATTGTCCTTGTTCTCTGGTGGGCTGGAAGCATTGATCTCAGTCCTCCAAGAGAATCTCTTAGAACTCCTCTGCTGCCAGACTTAATGCTCCAGTTGCTAACAAAGCAGCCTGCAAAATAAACAAGTAGTGTGCAACCTAGAGCGGAGCTTGTCTCGCACTGAAGACTCAAAGTCCCATGCACTGGCTACACAGTGTCTCCTTGTTACCTCTGCTTAGGCACTTAGCAACCACTTTCTTGTCTTAACTAAATTAACAAACTTATTAATGTTTTGAATGTTCATAGTAATAAGGGTAGGGGGCAATTTGAGCCTTTATGCTGCTTGATGTAACTGTTTTCATTTCAGTTTCAGTTTTTCATTTATGAAGTTGCTGTTTGGTCATAGCTGCAAAGATTCAATTGCTCTGTGCCAAATAGGGTGTCAGACGCTCGCTGAATAAGGCATTGTCTCTGGCTTCCTACAGGGGATTATATGCACGATTTATGTTCCCTATAGAAAGGGAAACTGCTTGCCCATGTTTGAATTCCATGCTTAGGCTGATGTGCTGTATCACTGGCAAGGAACCACATGGACTGTAAAAACTTAAAAAACAACAAATGGTCTGGTAGCACTTTAAAGACTACCAAAATATTTAGATGGTATCATGAGCTTTCGTGGGCACACCCCTCTGAAGCACATAGACTGTGTACGTTTTCCTGTGAATCTTGGGTTTAAAACTACTGCCATGTTGTGTATTTAAGGAGAAATCTCTACCCCAAACTTGAAAATGATCCAAGCCAAGTGCTCATTATTAACTAACTGCCTGAAACACCGCATTTGAGGCAAGCGAGTAAAATATTTTAGTGGGAAACTTCTAGTAACTATCCTGTTGGTTCTGTTCTACAGGAAGCTAGTGAAACTAATAATGTTAGAGGCAATAAGATAAGCTTATTTTCTCTCTTCAGCCAGGCAGTTTGCAGAGTAACATAAAGTGTTACTCAGTACAGCGTGTGGGCTAATAAAATGTTTAGCTGGATAGCTTGAAGTATGGAGTATGGTACTTTTTGTGTGCCATCACACTGGTCTGTTTTTGTTTCTTTCCCAGGGGCGGGGAGGGTCAGGTTTCTTGTTCTATCTTTCTATAAGAAACTGGAATAGCTCTCTAGCAAATTTCACATGGAAGGGCCTAATGGATTCTCACTCCTCTTTCCAGTACAGGTTGAACCTCTCTAGTCTGGCACCCTCAGAATCTGATTGGTGCTGAACCAGAGAATTTGCGAGACCACGGGAGGGGGGGTCAATATCATCTAGCAACATTACCAACCCTTCCACTGCTTACTGGGCTCTTAGAAGACATTTAGGGGGTAAATTAGAGCTAAATAACAGCACAGAACACTGAGAGCCAGGACTCGTGGCTATAAACAAACGTTATGGGACTGTAGGAAACTTAGCCAGATGGCCACATTCATGATAAGTGGACAAGGACTGGAGTGTGCCAGACTAGAGAGATTCAACCTGTAGCATTCTTTTGTTTGCAAAATGTTACTCTGTTCATTTAGTAGACTGCTTATCTTCAAAGTGATAACTGAGGTTGGAAAAGATTCAGAGAAGAGTAACAAAGATAGAGGATTTTCCCAGAACTACTGCTTATCTTCAAAGTGATAACTGAGGTTGGAAAAGATTCAAAGAAGAGTAACAAAGATAGCTTAAAACCCAAGAATTATTTAGTAGCTTAGAGGAAAATTTAAGATTTTGATGGAAGCTGTGGGATCCCTCCAATGATTGGAGGTATTAAGGGCAGATAAAATAGAAGGAAAAGCTTCCCACCCAACATAGAAATTCAGAGCTGCAGGGAATCCTGGAGGATGATGACTTATGTTTGTAGTTCCTACAGTCATGCAAAGATGAGAGTAATTGCAGCCAGAAGCATAAGATTCAAGTTCATCACCACAGGGGTTAGAGGTGATCTTTCTACCATGTGCACCTCTCCACAGTTAGTTGGGTAAACAGTGGGGCTTTTGCCTTCTCTGAAGCGTTGGGGTGTTGTCCTGCCTTATCAAAGGACATCTGCTTGAATCTAGTATGATAAACGTTCTACTTGTTTACAGAACATCTAGCAGACTGTGAAAGACAGACTCTTATCCTGAAAGGACTGTAATTGCCAAATAAATCAGGATTAAAGTTTTGGACTCCTTTCCCGATTTGAATGGAAAATACACTTCTACTAACGATGATATTCCTGGTTTTAGTATGTGATTCACCATTCATATATACCTCCTCCAATTCAGAAAGACCGTCATGATTCTTGAATTAGGCCTCTTCTATTCCCTCTACGGTAGCCAACAGTTATGATATGGCAGCTAAATGTTCCCACCAGGTGTCAGTGGAATTAGATAGGATTTGATTTGGGCAGCCCACAGCTTTCTGTGCAGCTCCACAAAACAGTGACCCTCTCAAACTGGACATCTAGTGTTTGACTTAAGGGCAGGTGATTTCTATTAGGCATCTTGGTGCCAGGGCAGATGAGTCAGGTTGTTATTGGCTCTCATTAGCCCTGGTTATTGGCGCTCATTAGCCCTGCAACATGCTATAATTAGTCTTCACTTGCTGCACCATGTCATGTTTACACCAATCTTTTGTGGTCTTAACTGTCTGAAGAATCACGTCCAGTCTGATTCCTGGCATTGACAAGCCTGGCTGATTGGCCCAAGTAAGGGGCAAACCCATTGCTACCCACTTGTGGTCTTAACTGTCTGAAGAATCACATCCAGTCTGATTCCTGGCATTGACAGCCCGGCTGATTGGCCCAAGTAAGGGCCAAACCCATTGCTACCCATGTAGATTGCCTTTAGGAAAAAGACATTGCTAATTTCTTCCCTCTTTGACTTGGATCCCCCTTTAAAATACTCTTCCAAGAGCCTTTTGGTTTTACTGCTCCCCTCCATCCCTGCTTTCTCTGGGTATGAGGGAGAGAAAAAATTGATTATCTAAAGTCTTGCCTTTTAACTCCCTTTTTATATGCTTAGACTACTGTGTCCCAAGATCAGACCTTCGGTCCAGAGCTGCTGAGTGCTTAAAATTCTGCATGTTGGCTCCAGGGGGAGGGACCCTGCTATCATGTTTGTATAGCTCAGTATGTGTGAATGTGAAAATGATGGTCTAGAGGAAAGAGTCAGTCACAAGTGGTGAGTAGTAAGACCAGGATCTCAAACTAAGTTTCCTGCACTTAATTTTTGAGGCATGAAAAAACCATTTCTCTCATTCCTGATATCTGTCTTTAACTTTTTCTCCTGACTTCTGTATCTTCAGTGAACGTTGTGGAAGCTCTTCAGGAGTTCTGGCAGATGAAGCAGTCCCGTGGTGCTGATCTGAAAAACGGAGCCCTTGTGGTGTATGAGATGGTCCCTTCCAACAGCCCCCCTTATGTCTGCTATGTCACCTTGCCTGGGGGGAGTTGCTTTGGCAGCTTCCAGGTAGGACCACATGGCTACAGAGATAAGCTGCTCTAGTTACATGCCTCATGTTCTGTAGAGCTGACTGGGCGGAGTCTAGCCATTCCCTTAAATCTCCATCCTCGAATCAAATTCCTCATTGTGAGGGGTGGGAGACTTTCTGGGAGCCCCAAAACACAGCTGGATCCAGGCCTTCAGAAGATAGATAAGTCCACCCCAGCTCAGTTCTGCATGGTAAGGACAGTAGTTGTCTTTTAACTTAAGTTTTGTTGTGAGATTACGTATTCCCTTCATTTACTGCAGGAAATGAACAGGGAATTTGCAAATAATGAGTTAACATGCATGACATCTGAGGGCAAGCGTGAGGGTAACTGTTGTGTAGCAATATTTGACTGAAGTGCAATGCCTTATTCTTTTTATGGTTGAGTATGGTTACAATGTGAATTCTAGAGACAATGAACTATAGAGCTGGCAGTCCCTGTTACAGCTCTGAAATTGACCCGGTGTCTTTCCAAGATGCTCAGAAAAGTTTGGCAGCCAAACCAATAAAGCTTGATCAATAACTGCTGCCTTTCCTTTGTTGCAAAGGAAAAGGTCCAACCCAAATACTTAACTAGAAAGATTAAAGTCCAAAAATCACATAGGGTTCTGATTGCATTTCAGATTCCTTTTCTGCAGTGGCTCAAGGAGGAGTTATGCTCTAGTCTTGGTTTGAAGAAGGCATCCAAAAGAAACAATTCCAGCAGTTAAGCTGCCTCCCCATCCTGCAATGCAGTCCTCATGTTTAGAGTAGGATGGCTGTGTTTTGGTTTTAAGATAATTAATTTTGTTGGCAATCCAATTGGTGGTATTTCCATGTCCCATATAGTATGTGCAGACTTCAACTTCCAGTTGAATTTTTGCATTCACCGTGATTGGGATTGCTGTGGTTTACAATGCACTCCTAATGACTTCAGAATGTCTGAGAAAATAACTTTCCAGCACTTCAGAACAACTGCCACCTAACAGCCATTTTGTAAAGGCAGGAAGAACTTTGGAGTGTCAGCTCTAACAGTTCTCAGCTGTCTCTGCTTTTCCGTTCTGATGGCATGTACGTCTGTCCCCAGTTCTGTCCGACCAAGGCTGAAGCCAGGAGGAGTGCTGCAAAGATTGCACTAATGAATTCTGTCTTTAACGAGCACCCCTCTCGGAGGATCACAGATGAGTTCATTGAGAAGAGTGTATCGGAAGCTTTGGCATCTTTCAATGTAAGAGCTTTGAGTATCTTGACTGCTGCAATTGGTAGGAATAGACTGGTTGGAAAATTTCATAAATCTGTGGGAAGGGAAACTTCTTTTGCATCTGGAAACCCTTATGGCAGGTTTTCCAGTGATTCTTGGAATGACATAGAAATACTAAAAATAAATATCAGTTATTACTCTAATTCTTGTTTTCTCTTAAGCTGTCCCTTTTCTCTATTCAGACTCCCCTCTCCAGCTGGCCTCTGTGCCCTGCCCGTGGGGTTAAATCACGTACCCAGTTAGATCAGCAGAATTACCTTGGATTGGTGTATTGGAGAGCAGCATTCCGCCCTTAATGTTTTCAGCATGCCCAGTGTTGAGGGCCTGTTAACTCTAAACTTATTCCACTTCTATATCTCGGGAAAAGCACTTCACACCCTTTCCTACAACTCTGGCCAAGTTTCTTTTAAATATAAAAATGTTTGTCTTGTATAGAACTGCTTTTATTTGAGCTAAAATGAAAGACTGGCTGGCTTAGTCAGTGGCTGGCCCATGCCTGGTACTGGCAGTAACCCAAAGGTTGGCTAAATAGTGCCAGGAACGCACTGGCTGCTGGCCCCACCCCTGGGGACTATTGAATAGTGTAACCACTAAGATATCATGTGGTTGCACAACTATTCAGTTACCCGATATCTAACGTCCCTACTTGCAACTATCTTACAATCTTAAATGTTAAAGAAAACATCAGATCATGGAAATGTAGAGGGCTGGTGTTGACTTCCAGGCCCCTTCCAGCCCTTTCTTGTGCCAAGGGCATGATAGTTGGGGTCAGAATTTCTCCAAGATGGAGAAAAGTCACTGCTTTTTGTCCTGTATTGATAACTTATAGCATGGGACATCTCCTAGCAAAAGCACAGTCTTTAGCAAAAGATGGAGGAGTTCAAAATCTCTTCTGTGTTTGTAGAATCTGTAAAACATGCAAGGTGGTTTAAAATTTGCTACCTCAGAGTATGTCCAAAAAAAAAAAAATCTGTGGATCCCGAAAATGTCACTTGCTAGTAGCAGAGCTTTGTGGGAACCCTGCCACTGGGTAGCAGCATGCCAGCGGTGTGGTTGCCTCCTCTTCCAGGGTCGTAATTCCTTAAAATTCTCCTTTGTTGCAGGGTAATCGAGAAGAAGCCGATAACCCGAACACTGGAATTGGTGCTTTCCGGTTCATGCTGGAATCCAACAAGGGAAAATCGATGTTAGAGTTTCAGGTACTATCCGTAACTTGATTCTCTCTCTTCCCCCGTTCCTCCACTTTCCAGTCTTGATTCAAGAGAGTTTAAAAGAACTTGTAGTTACATCAATCAGTGCTGTAGAATGGGCTGTGTCCGTGCATTCAGAAACATGTGCTGCTATGGCTTTTGTGTTGCTTAGTGTTAAATAAGAGCTCCAGCCACAGAATCCAGACCAGGATTTTTCAGGCCATCCAAAGTTCAGGAATAGCTGGACTACACAGGTTTCTAGTTTGGGCTTCCCTCTGTTTAATATATTCCTTGAGGCACTTGTATAAACAAGAATTATGGAGGGCATTGTGCATGCTTCATGTGATGTAGTGCCTTCAGTGTATTGGTAATGCAAGAAGCAGCATCTGCAAATATTTGGAGGAAAGACACTATGTTAGTGTATAGGACTAGGCGGCATGATCTCGATTTCAAGACTTCATCTTAGTTGGTTTTTGGGTATGTCTGCGTGGGCGCTGGAAGGTGTAACTTCCTGCTCAGGTGTATGGGCACTAACATGGATTGAACCAGCGTGTGAAGAGCAGGGGAGCTGTGGTAGCATGGGTCAGACAGGCTAGCTCAGCGATGGGCAAGCTAGATTCCATCACAGTGGGGCCGCAAGATTGTTGCAATCTAGATGGTCCCCTGAGAGAGGATAGTTTTGCTAACTGCACTTGTGCCTGGAATTTGCAGGGTGTGCCAACTGGACTGTAGCAGCGCTTTGATGCAGAGGGAGCCTACGGCTCTCTGTCAGTGTTGTGTGAACTCAGCACGCACCTTCTTCATGGGCCCTGACTTTACATGTGTGTCACTTTCACACCGGTAGGAAAAAACTACATGGACAGAAACCAGCAGAATCAGCCAATGCTGTGCATTGGCAACAGTAAACAAAATGTCTCGTGAGCCACACATACAACCTCAATGGGCCACATGTGGCCTTCAGGCTGCAGATTGCCCACCACTTGGCTAGTTGCCTGAATATACATACCTAGAGTCTCTGTTGGGACTGCAGCTTGTCCCACTGTTGTGGCTATTCTGCTATGTTCAATGTGCTGCTTTGGTGAGAGCTAGTACAGTATAAGTCTGCCTGAGTTGGGAAGTACCATATCGTCGTCACCGGTCACTTGAAACGAGGACTTTACGTGCTCCCCGCTAATAGCTGATTTAACCAGATTCAGGGATTTGATTCTCGGAAGGGGAGAAATAGGCTCTGCTTTCAGTTACCAGATGCTTGGCTGCTATACGCATGTAGGAGCCTTAAGCTTGTAACTTCGTTTTTATTTGGACTCTCTGCTGTAGGCAGACTTTCCTAATCCTGGACTTTTTCCCTGCTGCTCTCCCTTGAATGGTAACGTTCTGTAGGCGGAGGATAGAAGTGTTTATATTAAGAGCCCTGTTGACACAAACTGATGCCGCATCCTGTATGTTTCTGTGGTTACGCTGTCTGTGGGAAGCCTGGCTCTTTTGGGGCGTGTATGGAATGGGGTTTGTGTGGCCATCAGAGACACGTTTGCCTGGCTTCCATGACAACCAGGATCAGCATCTAGTGCAATAGCTCTGGGGATGAACGTGGCATAGACAAGCACAAATAGAGGATGTTACAGCACCAGAGGTGTCCCAAAGGTTAAGCAGTCTGAAGGATCTTTCTAGTCCCAGTGGTGGTAGTGAACCTCTGTCTAGCTGTGCAAGGCATGGGCATTGTCCTTGGCTAATGGATCAGCACATCCAGTAACATGTCCTTTTTAAATAGCTGTTCCATGAATGGCCCTTTTCATCTCTCAGTACTGCAGGAGTCGGACCGCATCAGCATGGCCTCAACTGTAAGTAAGCCAGCTGTGATCACTAATTTATTTATATTGCAATAGTGCTGAAGGGTCCCTAATAGTCTAGAGTCCACCGTGATCAGCATTGTACAGACCTCTGACATGGTCCCTCCCTGTAAAGCTTATAATCCTAGAACTGGAAGGGACCTGAAGAGGTCATTGAGTCCAGTCCTCTGTCCACCTGGAAGGACCAAGCACCGTCTAGACCATCTCTGACGGGTGTCTGTCTAACCTGCTCTTAAATATCTCCTGTGATTGGAAATTCCACAACCCCCGTAGGCAATTTATTTCAGTGTTTAACCACCCTGACAGTTAAGAAGGTTTTTCTAAGGGGATGTCTCCACTTGCCGTGCCAGAGACTGATCTTCTGACATTCAATTTTGTGGGTCTAGTTAAGACCCACTAAATTGAAAGCTGAGGGTGGCTCTGATCGGCGCCAGTACTCCTGGCAATCGCAAGGCATAAGGGAAGCTGACTGCAACGTTTGCTCCTGTCAGCAGCCTCCCACTGTAAAAACTGCCAAGCTCGGCTTAAGGTAAGTTGATTCCAGCTATGTATTGTACACAGCTGGAGTGGCATACCTTAACCTGATCTTCCGGGTCTAGTGTAGACCTGGCCTAAATAGTGGTTGTAATGGACAGGAGGAGTCCTGACCAGCACCTGGTGATTAAGAGGTTAAACTCAGGTAGCTAGCAAAGATGTTGGCCAGGGGATCACAGAACCAATTGAGCTAGAGTGCTGAAACTTGAACTGCATATAGATTCCTTGCCTGCTTTCTTTGTGTGGGGGAGAGAAACCAGGAATTGAGAGACAGAATGATTTAAACCCAGGCGGGACTACCATGCCTCCAAGGAATTCAGGGCATGGGAGTGGACTGAAAAAAAAAAAAAAAAAGAGAGAGAGAAGTAAGTAAAAAGGAAAAAGTGACTCCAGTTGGGTTCAAGGTAATTTTTCTTTATTTTGTGGTCTGGTTTGAACTGCTCTGTGTGAATCTATGCCTCCCCTCCCTAATTACCATCTAAGCATTGTGCCAGAGATTTTCTATATATTTAATTTGTTTTACTTAGTTGCTCTGTAACATCTAGCAACCAAGTATGCTTTTGCAAGTTTATCTTTTGTTTTGTAATAAAACAAATTTTTTAGTGAGGATTTGATTCCTGGCACGTCTGTCTGTGTGTGTCTGCAGGCCTCTGATTGAGGGGTCAGCTACCAGAGACTGCAGCTTGTTTTTTCTCTCTCCTTTTTTTTCAAGCTCTTTTGGGGCAGAAGAGCTTGGGATACCCCTGGGAGAAATTTCAAATGTTCACCCCTGGTTTTAGGGATAAGAAAAGCACTTGAGGGTGGCAGCAAATTCCTCAAAATTTGTGTTGTGATTCTGGGGGGAAGTTTATAACCTGTGTCTGTAGCAGCAAGATTTTAAAGCTCTCGGCAGGCCCTCACCTTCTGCACTCAGAGTGCCAGAGTGGGGAACAGCCCTGACAGTGGTAATGGCTTCTAGCCTGTTTTGCTCAAGGAGCTCAAAGCACTTCATTTTTTCCTGAGGCTTCAGCTGCCTGTGATGTGACTAATTTACAGATGAGGGAAAAGACCAAGCAAGGTGACAGATACAGCCCAGTGTTGCAGACAGGAGACTAGAACTGAGCTGGAACTGTCGCACTGTGAGCTGGAAATATATCCCTGAAGTCCTGACTTCCAGTGCTCTCTGCTAACCACTAAGCCCTCCCTGCTGTGGACTTAAATCTTTGCCCATCAAGGATACTAAGTGGAAGGAAGGATTCATTCACTCCTCTGTGTCTTCCCCACCTTAGTCTGTCTGTCTTTACTAATAATCCAGACTGCTTACCACCTGTAGCCCTAGCACTTCTTAGCTGTTGATCTCTAAGCTCTTTACAAAGGAGGTCAATATCATTATCCTCATTTTACAAGGGGAGGGAAACTGAGGCACCAGGTGATGAAGTGACTTGCCCAAGGTAGGGATGTAAGGGAGTCGTTGAGTCAACTACTCACATCCTCTCCCCTTGCTGCCTCTGTATCAGACGCAGCAAGTAGGGGGGGGGAAGCAGGAGCTAGTGGGACCCAGCACTGTCTCTGCCATGCTGCCTGCCCTCCACCCCTGTGCTGTTGCCTCTATCAGAGGCAGCAGCTCGGGGGAGGGGAGCAAGGGGAGGCTGCTGTGAAGCCGCCTCTGTCCATGGTGGGCCCAGGCTCACCACAAGCAGAGACTGCTTCACATCCTGCGGAGCATCCCCTGGCTGTGAACAAAGGCTGCTCCAGCAGCAGCCCCTGTCCATGGTGGGGGTTAGGGGGGGTCCCATTTCCCTGCTGCAACCTCCCACAGACAGGGGCTGCTGGATCCAGCATGAGCCGGGACTCCTACTACATTTAAACTGCAGAACCACAGCCGGGGTAGCTCCTGGACCTGGCACGAGCCGGGACTGAGCACCTTCCCTTATCGACTAATCTGTGTAGTCGATGCAACTTGTATCCACAACACGATTAGTCATTTACCTGCTTCTTCACGTCCTTAGCCCAAGGTCACAGTAGGCGTCCTGTGCCCAGTCCAGTGCCCTAGCCACTAGGACGCACTGCCTCCTGTGGGCTCTATGGTACAGAGCACAGGCTTTCAGCTGTATGCCAGAGAAGCATTTTGCTTGTGTACATTCCTGGCCACCCTTCCCGTGATTCACCGGTTCCTTCTTGTTGACACTGCTGCCCTTCGAAGCTGACTGCCGTTTCCCCTTGCAGGAGCTGATGACTGTCTTCCAGCTGTTGCATTGGAATGGTAGCCTTAAAGCCATGCGAGAGAGGCAGTGCTCGCGACAGGTAAGCTGGCTTGAGTGCCTCTTTGGCAGCAGCACCGGAGTACCTAAGGTATTCTTGGACTTTCTTTTCTCCAGTGCTCATGCAGACCTGCCACTGACTTTCCAGCATGCTGGAGTGCGCAGCTGAGCCGGATGCTGTTAACCAATACGCACGTCCTTAGTGACTCGCCATTCGTAAGTTCCTGTCCTATTCCTTCCCACTAGGAGGTGCTGGCTCACTACTCACACCGGGCTCTGGATGACGACATAAGGAACCAGATGGCCATGGACTGGGTGAACAGGGAGCAGAACACCCCCGGCGCCCTTTCCAGAGAGCTATCCTCGACGGAGAGGGAGCTGGATGACGCCCGACTGGCTGGGAAAGAGCTGCGTTTCCACAAGGAGAAGAAAGACATCCTGATGCTGGCAGCCGGCCAGCTGGGGAGCATGCACTCCTCCCACTGCTAGACTCGGCACGCAAACCGTTCTGCTTCCCCGGGCCTACTAGCAGTTCCACGTTGAAGGGCTCTGTACTGGATCACTTAGAGCATACAGCTGCCTCTTTTTCCCCCCCCCTTCCCCCCTCCCGAGTCAGAGCCCATTTGCACATTTTGAAGATGTTTTAAAAAGTTTCTGTACAGATTTTTACACTTCCAAATACTATCCTTTCAACTGCTTCTCCCCTTACTCTCTGCTAGAGAATTCCTCCTCTTTAGAAGTGCATATTTAAAGTGCAGCCTTTCAGTGTTAACATTACTCTAAAGACCTCTGTTCAACTGAGGCGCCGTACAGATGACCATATTTGATGGTTATGTAGCATTTCCCCAGGGAGATCTGGATTTGAAGAGATCCAGAAGGCATGTTACACAAACATGCCTTTCCATCTGCTTTTGCAGTCTGAGGGGCTTGGTCAGCCCCCCACCCTCTTCCTTTTGAAAAGCACAACACCTAGCAATATGTTCTGCTCTTCATACTAGAATTCGTGCTCCAATGGAGAATGTCTCAAAGCACATGCATGGAGTGTCAGATCTGGGATTTTGATTCACTCCATTATAGAAATATGGGGTCAGTCTACAAAATTGCCTTCTGCATCTGAGATCAGGTTTAAAACTCCCCAAAGTTTTAGGAAGGGGGTGTTTGGATCTGTGTTTTTGCTTCAGTCTCTTTCTTGTAACCAGCTGACTGTTCTTCTGCACGTGTGTTCAAAGTGCTTCCTAAGTACCAAATTACAAGATTCTGGTGGTGCTTAAGGGATTGGCTTTGGTATTAAGGAATTGGGCTCAGCTTTTTAATTAAGTCTCTGTACTAGAGAGAGCCCCCAGCCATAATAGCTTTGTGGTCCCCCTCTTGAATCCTCTTTGAACTTTAATGGGACTTCACTCTAGCCTACAGGGGTAATTGAGCTTGGAATGCTGTTCCATAGGCCAACAGAAGGTGGTGCTATAACATGGGTTGTACACTTTCCTGGATGTCCGATTTCTTAGGGTATCCTACTGCTTTCCAGTGTTATCCTAGCCACTTGGGTTTGGGTTGCTTTTGAACAGGATGTTTGACTAAACCTTTTTCAGGAAGACCTAAATCACTAGCCAGATATTCAGAACTGGCTAACCAAGAGGCAACTATTCCAGATGTATTACCATAGGTGTGCAGTGTTCCCTGTAAGCCGTGTGTTTGTGCAGCCGCCTAGGAGAGAGTCAAATTCTGCCCAGCTGTTTAGCAGAGCTCCCACAGCTGGAAGCATGTGTGTCTACTGGTGGTGCACAGCCACATAAGCCTTGGTGCATATAAAATTATTCTGCACATGGATGGAAAAAATCCACACATGGATGGAAGAGATTGAAGGGTACATTGAAAGATCCCAGGTTTACTGCCCTGGTAATCAGAATTGTATTTAACCTCTTGAAGCAGAACCTGGGATCAAGCCATGGAAAGTCAGATCTGGATTTAAACCCTACACTTGTGTAGTATAGTTGAGACCATCTTTTGGCCAGCATAGAGAAGTCTCTGAACCCAGTTTTAAACAGGGTTCTACCTAGTCTACAGCATCCTAGCTAACTCGTTTATAATATGGGTCAGATCAGTCTTGAGGACACTAAACAGTATTCCCTAAAAGGTTCCTTTTATTCTTGCAACATAAAGTGGATAGCAAAAGGCTGCATTTAATCTCCACTTTGGAACTGGCTAGTTTTTATAGCATTACTTGAACAAAGTATTCCTGAAATGTAAATCTTTATATGCACTATTCTTTATTAACTAATAGAGCCCTGCACTTAATATAAATACTAGCCCTGTAGTATAAGCAGCTTGTAAGCATCCTTTTGGACACCTAGATGTTTCTATAGTTCAAGTTTATAGCGGGTGGGGAGGGGGAAGTTGCTGGCTTCAGAACAGCAATGCAAAAGGGAAACCCAATCAGACACAAGAACTGCATTCCAAACTCTCCCTTCTAGGGTCGGTTAATCTCTGGTGCTGACATTGAGCTTTCGGAACAGGCTAGGCACTCGTCTTGCTAACTGATTTGTAGCTGCCTAACTTCCTAAGATTTGAAAGAAATCTGCAAGTTTTTATCCAATCAGCCCAAGTAGAGCCCTCCTTTTCAAAAATAGTTCCTGGATGTGACTGTCAAACAGAAAAACTATGGCTCTGTGGGGGCAGCTACAAGCACGTTTTATCAGGCCATATTTACTGAAGATGGAGCCAAAGCACAATCCTAGAACTGTTTGATCGTTTCCTTCTGCATAATTGTTGGAGAGGTTGGGGGGGGGAAGGGGGTTGTAATATCTTGGGCACCCTTTACTTTCTGTCTGCCCTCAAATGATTCGAGTCTGCTAAATTCTCCTGTGCCTATAAATGCCACTACAATGCAAACCAGGGATTAATTGCTCTGGTTACAAACTGAAAACCCTTCACCTCTACTACCAAGGTAAAATGGGAAATCACTTCAGCCCACTATCCAAGTCCCTGGATTTGTTATAATTGTGTGTCTCTGACCAATCTAATGGGCATTAAGGGAGCTCATATTTCACATTTTGCTGTGGGGTCTAAGCACAAGCTTGCACTTGGATCAAAGGTCCAGATTCATTTTGTTTTACTGAGTTAAAACTGAGTATTTGGTGCACAAAGCGAAGTCATAGTTTGTAATATTCCCCAGGGTTTCCTGCTTACAGCAATAACTCTTTGATCTGATCTCGTACGTCATAACTTCTAGACCTTTTTACCTTTTATCTAGTAACTTTGTAGATTTTGTAAGCCTGCTGTGCAAGGCACTTATTTGAAGGGATATAAGCCTTTTTTTTTTAATCTAGCATCCTGCTTGTGGCAGCTTGCTCTAGTGTCTGATTAGTTTTGTAAAGGAAAAGTCACAATATTGGGCTGTCTTCATGAATGGCAAAATCTGAATCTATTTTTGTGGTGACAGGGATTGATAGATTTGGAAGTCATGGTACAGGAAGTATTCTTTAGCTACACTCACACAGTCATGGTACCCAGTTTTAAGATTGCCTGTAGGTAACTACTCTAAGCTCTTTGATATTTTTAGACTCTTCCTTTGCAAATTAGGAAAAAATTAATGTTTTATAAAATATCCAAGTGGTACATGTTCTGTACTGTTTGAAATGCAACATGTAGTGTGCAATGCAATGGATTTGCTTGTAATTAACACAAAATATTGATCACTATCTCGTGGCTTATGAACCGTTCTTTGGGTCCTCATTGAAGAGGCAGGAGGCCTCAGGCAGTGGAGAAGAAAGGTAACAGTTGAGCACTTTGTACAGCATTTTCACGTGTCGTTCAGGTTAAATAGGGAGTTAGAGCACATATCTCCTAGACAATGCAGTCTAACGAAGCAGTGATTTGCTGGTGCACAAAATAATCTTTCTCGTAACACTTTAAAACCTTTTCAGTGTATAGGCCAGAAGAACTAGTAGGGTCTCTTCTGGAATCTTGAGTCAGGGGCTGTTTAAAAACAAACCCCGCCTCTCTTTGGGATTCTTGTGGATCTCAAATTGACTTTTGGTGGATCACTAATTGAAATGAGTCTCTGGGGTCCAACTCTGAAAGCAGAAGTCTGCCACTGTTTTTAATACCTCCCCAGAGACCACCTCTCAACCCCACTCCATCTTTCTGGAGCAGCCTCTTACAAAAAATGTTTGAACTAGTAGCATGTGGATAGTAAAGCAATGTTATCTCAAAAAGAAGACTGAGAAGAAACTACGTTATTCTTACACCTTCTAGTGTTGTATTCCAATCCTAACAAGCCTATGTCTGATGGTTTTTATATGTATGTATATTTTTTATATACAGTCTTCTTACCTGATAGTATTAACATGTAATGCATTTATAAAACTTGACTTATAAATGGTGGGTTTTTTTTAGTTTTACAGGTTGGCTTCTTGGCATCTGGACTCTTGAGACACTTAATTTTCTTTCTCTAGAAACTGCATGAAGTCTTAATGTTCTTCTAACACCTCCCCTTGTGTGTAGAGTTTAAAATAAATCAGGCGAAACCGACTTGCCTAAGGACCTGCAAATGCTTATGCCCTGAGTACTCTCACATGAAGAGGGTGGTTTTCACAGTATGGAACCTTAAGTGTGTCTCCAGAAACGTTACTTTGTTTCCTCTGTGTTAAGGTTGTCTACACTTAAAACACTACAGCTTCAGTGTAAGCACTACAGTGAGAGGCAGGGTGCTCCTTGTCTGTACATAACCTGCCTCTCAGGGAGGCAGTGGCCAGGGTCGATGGAAGTATTCTTCTGTCAACGGCAGGGGTTAGACTGGTTTAACAACGCCACTCGGGATTTTTCACACCCCTTACATAGATTTGCCAGTCTACCCTGAAAAACTAGAGCAGCCCCAAACAAAGTCATTTTTTAAATTGTGGACCAGATCATACCCCGCTAGGGGTGTGTCTAGACTACAGGGTTTTTTCGAAAAGACTTCCCCTGTGTCTAACTGCAGCCGCATTCTTTCGAAAGTAAATTGAAAGAACGCGGCAGGTTTTTTTGATCGCGGTAAACCTCATTTTACGAGGAGTAACGCCTTTTTTTGAAAAAAGGCGCTATTGAATGCAAACTACTTTTTCGAAAGAGCATCTAGACTCTTTCGAAAGTGCTGCATAGTCCTGTTTTTTGTTTCATCTGTGTTGTTTTTTAATTAGTGTTAACCTTAATTGAGAAGCTAACTGCTTGCCACAGAGTGGTGCAAAAATGAAAAATTCCTGACAAAAATGAGGAGGAATGGCTCTTGTACAAGAGGGGGGTTTTGCGCAAAAAGGAGCTGTCTACACAGCTCCCATTTTGTGCAAAAGCCTCTTGCGCAAAAGTGGCTGCTCGTTACTTATGCAAATGAGGCGTGGTGCTATTCCATGCTGTGCTTCGTTAGCATATGTTTTTCTTCAAGAAGGCTACAGTATAGACGTAGCCTTAGCTGAACAGAGGCAGTTAAACACTTCTGCCCAGGAAGCTTTTGAGGGCCTGTCTGCTCCCCATTTCAGTGCTAATTTTGAATCTTTTCAAGATGTGAGAATGTAATGGTTCTCCACTAAACCAGAAAGGCTAACTCTCTTCAAATCATCAGCACAGTATATTCTAC